GGCATCAAGTGGCAACTTCTGAGCAGGAAGAACGTCCGACCGTTCTACCCGTCTACCGTTCAGGATGGACGACCTTAGAACGGGTGTAGCGGGTCCACCTATTCCTGGTATGGAGATCAAGCTTCGGTCATGTCTTGATGCTAAGGGTGAACCCGAGATCTTAGACCGCCACGGCAAACCGTATCTCTCGAAAGACACTCGAGCTTCTAACGGCAAGCGAGTTATAGGTAGATTGCGCCTCTGATGTAGTTGGTGATTTCTGTCTTTGCTAGGTCGTGGTGAAGTTCTTATACGTGGGCCTTGTGTAACGAGTGGATATTATAAATTACCGGAGAAGACTGAGGAAGCGTAGTATAGATGATGGTGATGGAGTGGTAAAGGTCATCGTGTCCAGGTTCAAGTCGGACGGGTGGTTCTATTCGGGTGATGTTGGGCAGTTTTTGGAAGATGGTAGTCTGCAGCTCATCGACAGAGTGAAGAACTTGGTCAAATTACGAGGTGGCGAGTACGTACTGTACTGTTCATATCGGGCTTATAGATTTTTCATGGACATGCAGGATGGTGAATTTAGTTTTCACATCTACTCGGCTAGTTCCGCTTTGTCCTCAATGGAATCGGAGACTCTGCATCTGAGTAATCACAATGCTCTACTCAAAAACCAAATGGTATTTCACGTTGGGGTTCTCTTTACGCCAATTTTGAAGGAATATATGTTTGGTTTTCTCATCTAACCTAACGAGTTCCTATACGTATATGTGTGGTGTAGATACATCGCTTTGGAGAACATGGAGTTAGTCTACAGCAGTTCAGCATTCGTGGATGCTGTCAATGGTGGCATCATGTGTTACGGTGATGGTAAGTGCAGCTGCTACTGGGGCCACTGTTGGAGGGGTATATCTTCGCTCTCCTCAGCTGAGCTCAGGAGTTTCTTCACTAAGCACAGGAGTTTGTAAAAGTTCTATAATTAGTGAGGAAACTCCTGATAAACTGATGAAACTCTGTGTATGTATGTATTCGGGTTCGAATGTTCAGAAACGAACAATCATTTTTTGGGGAAATTCCCTCGAAATTTTAATGTGTCGCTGACACATGTAGTTAAGCTTGCGCTTAAACTGCTTTAGGCACTCTGGATAGGCCGGTTGCGATGGTACAAGTAAACAAGGAAAATCTCGAGAAATGGGCTAAGGCTAACAATGTCCAATATAGGAACTACGAGGAGCTGCTGAGGAAATCTGAGTCTAGGAAAGCGGTAAGAACGCTACCTTCTCGAGTAGGAACATCGCGATAAGTGTAGGTTCTCGATTCGCTGAGGAAGTGTTGGAAAGTTGGTAAGCTGTCTCCACTTGAGCAACTCTGTGCTATAGTATTGCTCAATGACCCATGGACTCCAGAAAACAAGTGAGATGCATTTTCATGGAATGCTTCTCACTGCCGCGTTA